AGACACAGTTATGAATAAAGTTAAGAAATCCACAGCGGACCTTATACGCCGAATGAAGCCGTTTCTAGGTGGGTCAAGATGGTTTGATTTGTCGCTCAAAATCTGGACTAACAAATTCTTATGAACAAAATTAAAGATGGATTAGATAATTTAAAATTAGATAATCAAGAGAAAATGGTTAGTTTTGACGTTGTCAGTTTATATACACGTATACCGACAAAGAATATGCCTAAAGAGGCGGTCAGAAACGAACTCATTTCTGACCGAAAATTGAAATAAGAACGAAAGTGCCACCTGAAGAACATAATGCTGGGAGTGCAGCTATGCCTAACTTCCAAAGTATTCAAATTCCAAGGGAAAATATACAGTCAAACTGAGGGATTTGCAATGAGATCACCAATACCCCTGCTTGTAACAGATATATTCATGGATAGGTGAGAAAAGATATCGATTGAAACGTTCAGCCCCACCCACTCCAAAAGTATGGTGGACGTATGGTACATAACACATTCACCGTACTTAGAACACAGGATATAGATGGATTTTTCAAACACATTAACTCAAAGGTGGAGGCAATTCAATTCACTTATGAATTGGAAAGTCAGGAAGGGGAGCTTCCAATGTTAGATAGCAACGTAAAAAGGAAAGAAGATGGGAAGTTGAACACATGAGTGTGTTTACAGGAAACCCACACATTCAAACAGATATTTGGACTTCCGACCCACCTTTCCTATGTCAGTAAAAATAGGATAGTTGGAATGTTTAAGTGACAGGGCACAAAAACTAAGTAGTACCAAGGAAAATCTAAGACAGGAAGTGATACACATAAAAGAAGCCTTAAAACTTAATAATTACCCGGATAAATTAGTCAAGAAATATGCGGGTAAATGTAAAAATAAAATAAATAATGATAAAAGCGATAGTGATAATAATTATAATAATATTAATGACGACATGCATGTCAAATATGCGCAAGACAACACCAACGATGAGGAAACTAAATCATCAGTAGTAATTCCATACAAGGAGAGAACCTCGGAAACCTTACTCAGAATTCCCAACAAGGCAAGAATAAAAGTGGCTGGCATTCAAACCCACAAACTTAATTAGAAAGCTGCTTTGTGCGTGAAAGGATCCTGTGGCGCCTTTAAAACAAAACAATTTAGTTCATTTAATACCCTGCTTGCAATTATTGTCAGGTCAAATACATAGGTCAGTCTAGTAGATCAGGGGCAGTGAGTCAGGCTAGCCGAACATAAAAGCCTAGCTAAATCTAGATTGGTTGACCCAAATAAGACAAGAAATCTAGAAAATAGTTCAGCTACATTACTACATACAGTTACGCACAACCATACAATAGGCTGGGATAAGACGACAATTTAAGAATCTAATGTCACAGTGTGTATGGAGGGAGAGATTGATAACAGAAGCTTTGTTTATCGAATCAAGTGCAGATCAACACGTGTAATAGGAATGATTCAACACCTGTCCAACCGGATATCTGGAAAATTCTACTACCCGTAAGACAAACAGGAGATGACAAAGAAAACTATAAAGTACACAAGATGGGCACTCCACTTCGACCGATCCTCGACAAAACTATAAAACTCAAGTTTCGAAGTCGTTTGATTATAATTGATAGGATTATGAACAATAAATTTTGTTCGAAACGTCATTCAGTATACAATACTGTTTCACTGTGTGATACATCTAATAAGCAAACTAATATGAAATTGCTTACTACCACCACAGTGCCCAAGTTTAACACACATATTAGTATTCCTAAGTTATGAATTATTCTCGACTGTTGCTTCGTAATTACTATTCTTTTTGTCTCATATCGCTGTTTACTGTCTCTATTTTGCATTTCCTTTTACTTTCTTCTCTTGCTTTATGTGGTACATGGAGTGTGACGACTTGAACTGCTGCACATCGGTGCACAGTCCTATGTCGAAAGCAGACAGACATGATATGTGTTGAGTATTGTTGTATGCAGCGACTAGTCGGAGAATGTGATTACTGTCATTTAAGTGAACATGATGTTAGCCACTAAGCGAGTGCTATGCTGTTTCAATCAGGCGGATCAGACAATCGGATTTGGGTAGGCATCTTATCAACGTTTGCAGCACACAAATAGTGGGACAGGTAGACAAGCACTCTGGAAATGGTGTAAGCTGTCTTACTTTTCGATTTTGATTGTGACCGCTGTTGGCGAAGGCCTTCTCCTTGTACTACCTAAAATTGGGTGACAGGAGTAGGAGTTTCAGGGGTTTGTCACAGGTGAAGTTTCAGACAAGTGGAGACAGATGCGAGATAGAATCGTCTCACATAGGAAAGATAGGTTTGTGGTCACTGAGATTGAATTTGTCAACAACTCTATTTTATCAGAGTTGAACGAGGATGTTTGTAGGCGTAAAGAAGATAGGATGTAAGCCATGTGAGATACTGACCCGGTTCTATCGCTACCCATAGATATCAACCAAGACTAGTTCAAAGTAAGCGGTGGAATTCATGTAACAGGCGAGTGGGAGAAACAATTAGTATATATAGATGAGTGTATATTGTGGAGTGAGGTCGAATCAGTGCCTATGAGTCTATGTGAATGGAATAACAATTGTTTGCCAAAGACAATTCACCCTAGGTTTCGAAAAGCTGTGTCATCCTTGTGAGGGTAGCGTAGCATTTCTCAGATGGTCTACGCGTCAACTTAACTGTATCTGATGTGGAGGCGTGAGTAGCAAATATGTGGTCTGCATTAGGGTTAGTAGAGGCTGTTGAAGATCAGTAATTTTAGTCTTCACAATTCACGTGTTCATACACAGATATATGTGTGCATAGATACATGTCGGATTGTATTCTTTGATCTGACAAGGTCCGATAAGGCTGCCTGACATTTGTTGATATCTGTGGATCAGGCGTATATTTGTGAATACAAACACTTGTAGAATGGATTATTTTGTGACGCAGGTTATCGGTTTTCTGTTGCGATTCAATGAGGATCTGTCGTGTGACTAGGAAGAGTGCCTCAAAGTTTTTAGGCTGAGAATGATGTGACAGTTGGAGACTTTCGTTACGAGATATCCGGGAGATTATTATTTTTATTATTGTTATCATTAGTATTATTTTCACTATCGCTTTTATCATTAGTTATTTTATTTTTACATTTTCTTACATATTTCTTGACTAATTTATCCGGGTAATTATTAAGTTTCAAGTCTTCTTTTATGTGTATCACTTCCTGTCTTAGATTTTCCTTGGTACTACTTAGTTTTTGTGCTCTGTCATTTAAATTAAATAAATGATGACAATAGTGATAATGATAATAATAATAATAATGATAACAATAATAATGATAATAATAATAATGGTAATAATAATATTAATGACCACTCCAACAATAAGGAATATAAATTATCAACAGTAATTCCATACATGGAAGGAACCTCGGAAACCACCTTACGCAGAATACTTAACAAGACAGGAATAAAAGTGACTGGCATTCAAACCAACCACAAACTCAATTAGAAACAAGCTTTGTCGGTTAAAGTACCAGTCCTGTACAGCCTTTAAAACAAAACAATTTAGTTTATCTAATACCCTGTCTGCAATGGATGTCAGATCATATATATTGGTCAAACTAGTAGAACAGGGGCAGTGAGTCAGACTAGCCGAACATAAAAACCTAGCTAAATCTAGATTGGTTGACCCGACAGAGATAAGAAATCTAGAAAATAGTTCAGCTATAGCAGTACATGCAGTTACACAGAACCATACAATAGGCTGAATGGGATAGGATGACAATTTTAGAATCTAATGTCACAGAGTGGAGGGAGCTTTGTTTATCGAATCAACTGCAAATACATGTAATAGGAATAATTCAACACCTGTCCAACCGGATATCTGGAAAATTCTACTACCCCTGAGACAAACAGGAGAGGACAAAGAAAACTGTAAAACTCAAATCTCAAAGTCGTGTGACCACAATTGATATGATTATGAACAGCAATAAGTGAATTGTGTTCGAAACCTCGTCATCCGGTATACAATACTGTTTCACTGAGTGACTGTGTGATACATCTAATAAACAAACTAATATGAAATTACTTACTACTACAGTACCCAAGTTTTACACATATATTAACATGGTCATAAGTATTGAGGTGAAAGAAAATCACGTCATAAGTCAATAAGATAAATACAAACAGACGTGTAATACAGACATGTAGGAAATTAGATCTCTAAATATTAATAAATCTTCCCCTTTAGATCAATCAACTTAAAGTTTTTTACAACGTATAAAAAGAGAAAATATCCAAAACATAATTTATGACTAAAATTTAACTAAAAGTCTGAATGTGTCGATCCTTAAATACCCACTCTATAAGTTATAGATCTTCAGGTCTATTTATTTGAATTGTGAGCCTTCCTTATTCATCTCAGTTTTTTGAGTTGTTTACAGTTAAGTTGTTAAGTTGTCATGACTTTTCGTCACCTAAAGATTCCTTTTTTTTACCCCGTAGTCACGATTTTTTATTTCATCAAATCAGCCAGTCTGTTGATGAATAGTTCATAATTTCATAAAATTAACTAAGTTTCATCTACGTGGGTTGATGGCACAGCGCTAGAATGCCCGCCGCCAAAAACGCCCCCCCCCACGCATGTGGTTTCTGGGTTCGATCGCCGGGTCAGCGATGCACTCCTTTACCTGGCTAATAAATATAGTAAGACTGGTAAAAAGGAAAGATTAAGCATGAGTCTAGCAGTCCCATCCCATAAAAATAAAAACACAAATGCTACCAGAAACTTCAAGCCTCCAGCATGAAACCCTATGTGTCCACTGGGAATGTACAGGAATGAAAAAAAATTTCATCCACAAATGTATGTGTAGAAGAAACGGCAAAATAGAAAAATAATCACATGCCAAAATTTTTGAGGTTATCATAATATAACCCATTGATAGATATCCTGTTACTTCTTTTTTTATATAATTTCTTAACTAGATGTTGAAACTGGCTGTCAGCAAGACATCTCCTCACCTGATGGAGAGATAATCACACCCAACTGGCCAAATGAATATCCTATGAAACAGACTTGTCATTGGAAGATAACAGTTACACCTGGTCATCGTGTAAAAATTGTAAGTCTCCACCTTTTTTTCTTTCATTTATGTCCCAACCTTCTTTTATTTATTGGTTACAGGATTTTATCATGAGCACTGACATAGGACGACAATTGAAAATCAATCACCAAAGAGGTGGAACAAAGCAAACACTGGGCTGAACACTTCAAAAGACTTCTAAATTGTCCGCCACCTACAACGCGCCCAACAATACCAACAACGGAAGCAGAACTACCAGTGAACATCGATCCTCCGACGAAATCAGAGGTCCTGAATGCAATCAAGATGCTAAAAGCTGGAAAAGCAGAAGGACCAGATGGAATCCCAGTAGAAGCATTGAAAATGAACCCAGAGACAACAGCGAATTTGATGACAACACTACTGCAGAAGGTGTGGAAAGAGGGCAAAGTACCCGAGGATTGGAAGAACGGATACATATTCAAACTACCAAAGAAAGGAGACTTAAGCCAATGCACAAACTGGCGTGGAATTATGCTTCTGTCCATTCCAAGCAAAATACTATGCCGAATCATCCTTGAGAGCATCAAACAAGCCAACCTCGATGAAAAACTTCGACCGGAACAGGCCGCATTCAGGAGAAACAAGTCATGTATTGATCAAATCGCCACTCTACGGATCATCAGTGAACAAAGATTGGAATGGCAGTCACCTCTCTATCTCAACTTCATCGAATTTGAAAAGGCCTTCGATAGTGAAGCGTCGATCGAGAGGTGATTTGGCAACTACTTCGCTATTACGGGGTCTCATCGAAAATTATACATCTCATCCAACAATTAACTGGACGACAATGCTGCATGCCAAGTAATCCACAACGGGAAACTTACGGAAGCCTTCGAAGTGAGGACGGGAGTGAGAAAAGACTGCCTAATATCACCAATGATTTTCCTGATTGCAGTAGATTGGATAATGCGACAGACAACGGAAACCAACGAGGGAACAGGCATAAAATGGACTCACACAAAAAGAGACTTGGAGGATCTGGACTTCGCCGATGATGACATGTGTCTGATTTCCCACAAACTAGAAGATATGCAAGTGAAAAGCAACAAGTTGGCAGAAGAAGCATCCAGAGAAGATAGGACTCCAAGTAAACATAGAGAAAACAGAGGTAGGTGATGAAGATTCCTGGCCAACACCAACAGCAACAGACAACAATCAGCATAAATGGGAGAAACAGCCTCCTTCACCTACCTGGGAAGTATCGTTTCAACTACAGGTAGACGGAACTGACGAGGATATCAAAGCCAGAATCGGAAAAGCAAGACAAGCTTTCATTACTCTGAAATCTGTGTGGAGGTCAACAGCAAAAATAAGATCAAGTATCGAAAATAAGATCCGGATTTTCAACTCCAATGTAAAGCCAGTGCTACTATACGAATCAGAGACTTGTCGAGTCATAAAGAGCATCTCAAACCAACTTCAAACCTTCATCAACAGTTGTCTTCGCTCAATACTCAAGATCAGATGTCCGGGCAGAAAAGGTCAGCGACAGGGATCTCTGGGAGCGAACCAACACAGCAGGAACCGATTGTGAAACAAATAGGCAGGAAGAAATGGAGATGGATTGGATTGTGTCCATACTCTGAGGAAACCATCAAGTGACATCATTAGACAAGCCATTGCTCAAGTGGAACCCGAAAAGGAAGCGGGTGGCGAGTTGGTCGTCAGTGCGAAGGTAGGGTGACTTGGAGGAGGTCATGTGAAGGGGAGGAGATGAAAGCATGTGGACAAACTTGGAGCGGGGTGAAAAAGTTGTCAGAAAACAGAAGGCAATGGAGGTGGGCAGCTGAAGCCCTATGTTCCTCTAGGAACTAAAGGATACAATAATAATAATAAATAATACTGACATAGGTTGGTGGTTAGAGAACCAGATCCACCATTGGAAAAACAGCGACAGGGAGAACTTACTGCCAGACAGGCGTTTCCTGCGTCTTAGTGCTTGGGCTGTGCTGATTCTTCAGTAATACTCGGCAGTGTTCGAACCCAGCACCTGCCTTCGCGTTAAAAGGCCGGCTAGCTCACAGGCCGCTAAGCAGGCACTCAGTCGGACCCGACCCAATCCAATGCCAAGCCCAAGCCAATTCATGACACAGCGCGACCATTAGACAATGTTTTATCGGCGAGTATTTGTTGACTAGATTGAGGCAACTTCAACATCAGACGGCAGTTTGTGAAATACATAATTGACCTGATATTGTTATGGAGTGACCGAGTATAAATGTGACTGACGAGACATAACGGACGATGGCAGTGGAACGACTGGTATTGCCTATTATTATTATATCTTTTAGTTCCTAGAGGAACATAGGGCTTCAGCTGCCCACCTCCATTGCCTTCTGTTTTCTGACAACATTTTCACCCCGCTCCAAGTTTGTCCACATGCTTTCATCTCCTCCCCTTCACATGACCTCCTCCAAGTCACCCTACCTTCGCACTGACGACCAACTCGCCACCCGCTTCCTTTTCGGGTTCCACTTGAGCAATGGCTTGTCTGGTGATGTCACTTGATGGTTTCCTCAGAGTATGCACACAATCCAATCCATCTCCATTTTTTCCTGCCTATTTGTTTCACAATCGGTTCCTGCTGTGTTGGTTCGCTCATTGCCAGAGATCCCTGTTTCTGACCTTTTCTGCCCGGACATCTGATCTTGAGTATTGAGCGAAGACAACTGTTGATGAAGGTTTGAAGTTGGTTTGAGATGCTCTTTATGACTCGACAAGTCTCTGATTCGTATAGTAGCACTGGCTTTACATTGGAGTTGAAAATCCGGATCTTATTTTCGATACTTGATCTTATTTTTGCTGTTGACCTCCACACAGATTTCAGAGTAATGAAAGCTTGTCTTGCTTTTCCGATTCTGGCTTTGATATCCTCGTCAGTTCCGTCTACCTGTAGTTGAAACGATACTTCCCAGGTAGGTGAAGGAGGCTGTTTCTCCCATTTATGCTGATTGTTGTCTGTTGCTGTTGGTGTTGGCCAGGAATCTTCATCACCTACCTCTGTTTTCTCTATGTTTACTTGGAGTCCTATCTTCTCTGGATGCTTCTTCTGCCAACTTGTTGCTTTTCACTTGCATATCTTCTAGTTTGTGGGAAATCAGACACATGTCATCATCGGCGAAGTCCAGATCCTCCAAGTCTCTTTTTGTGTGAGTCCATTTTATGCCTGTTCCCTCGTTGGTTTCCGTTGTCTGTCGCATTATCCAATCTACTGCTTAGTGGTAGCTAATTTAACATAGACTTATATGTATAAAATTTTAAGCAATGACGGTGATTTTGTGGATCAAATAATAATGATAACAATATGGTAAATATTTTGACTGAGGTTAATAACGATGATTACAATGATAACAAAATATCGATAATAAGGCTTATATAGGTGATAGGAATAACAAAGTTAGTATATACATATATGTAGACAATTCAATAAATAAATAAATTAGGTCAAATCAAATGGAACGATAATCAGAGTTTAAATAAATATCATAAAAGTACGAAGGAGAGGGATGATAAGAAAGGGTGGGAGGGTTTTGAATAGAATTCACCTAGGCTAAGTAAGGGAGAGACAAAGGTAGAACAACAAATTTCTTTTGTATACAAAGACTAGGATTGTTCTCTCGAATTAATTCCCATAGCTTCTTCGGCTAAGTGTAAACGACGGGTTCTGATTCCGTTCGAAAGACTCGATGGAATGCGGTAAATAATTTTGAAGGCGGCACTATTTTTGTCCACTTGGTGACCACTATCATCAATCAAATGAGTCAAAATAGAACTTCGTATGGATTTTATTTGACCTTTTGCGAACCATGAAGGAAGATGCTCATTAATGCTTTTGTTAAGCTGTCTAGTTGTTCGCCCTATATAGCTTTCTCCACAGGAGCAGATACACATGGAAGTGGCACAACTAGGTAGCTTATCTTTCACTTGAGCAATCAAAATTAGTCGGCTGGAAAATGACAAACAGAGGGTGGCGGCAGTATAAGTCCGTTTTATATTATATATATATGTATATATATAAGTCTATGTAAGTTAGAGTAAAGCCTGAAGAAGATCTGATTGAAAACAATAATGTTCGCTTATATGTCTTGTTCTAACAAATATGAAACAAAATAATTGAAAAAAGAATATTCTTTTAGATAATTTACTCCTCTTCTGGCTCTACAATTACATAGATATGTTTTTATACACACAGAACATTCTGGAGTAGTAGTCGATAAGAATATCGAAGTGTTCTCTTAAATACCATCGATTTGTTAAGTAAGATTACAATGGAATCACCACCACAGTTCACGAAAGATACACAAATTGATTTGATTTTGATTTTTGATTTACAGCTTGATTTCACACTGTATTTTTGGTACAAGTATGGAATTTTCAGCATGGATATCGGTAGCCCAAATTTTGCAGGCCGACCATAGATATCAGGTGTGCGCCGGCGTGGGCTCGAACCCCGGACCATGTGCATGGTTGGCGAGAGTCCTAACCACTGTGCCACCGAAGCATAAAATGGAATAGTAAATAGAATATCAAATGAAATTAAGCAAAATTTCTACAGCAACAAATAAAGGATCATTCAAACCTAGATGACTAAAGTAAGGACAATGTGTGAACTAGCTTCCTTTATTTTGGGTACATACATAAGTTAGACTACTTAATGTGGATCCCAGCGGCCAACCTTAGCAATATTTAGTAATTGAACTCTTAGGGCGAAGTTAAGATTAGTTGGTATACGCGGCAGATAACTTTGAAAGCTGCCTTGTTAACATCAATCAGTCTTATGTTCTGTATCCACAAGATAAGCGAGATAGAATCGAACAGCTATGTGAAGGGATTTTGTTTATCCTTTACTTAATCAAACGCTGTACAGGATGGTGTTCGGAAATCTGACGATAAACATGCCTAATTGTATGGTCTAGGCAATTCACTGACTTAATGGAAGCAGTCAAAGATGAACCAATATATGAATCAAAAATAAAATGGATGGATAAATAGTCTTATTTTTTACCCCGAACTGGGTTTTGATTGGCTGCAATGTGATGTAACGAAGGTCATTCGTATTAGGATAAAACTTGGGCTGCACATTGTGATGATACACAGAGTATAACTTCATCATGGAGAGAATGTTTCATTTCGATAAAGTGTCATACACAGTGTGTGTGTGTGTGCGTGTGTTTGTTGTACAGTAATATTTACTGTTGATGACCACACACACGCTTCGAGCACAATTCACATTATTGCCACTACTACTCATAATCATAATCATATCAAGGCACACAACTCACACTCACACACCACTCACCTTCTCGCTTCGTCGTTAATATACATGCATAAGTACAAATTGATGATGATTAGACAACATATGATTCAATTGAATCAATCAGTAATATAAGATGAGTAGAAAGTACATTCAGAAGTAATACTAATAATGACATTAGTGCTATCAATGAGATACCATAAAATGGGAAATAACGTCATACATTTCATCATGAGATGATATCGGTTAGAGAATCGCTGGGAAACCTGGAACTAATGTACAGCTGTTTCGTCCTCGTTGGCATCTCTTCATCAATACGCACCCACCCCATTCGGGTTCGAACCCACGACCTTTTTGTTACAAGGTGAGCTCGTAGATTTAATGACCAGCCGGTCAGCCAGACAATTCATGAATTCTGACTTCTGTCAATTTATTTATCCTTACACCCGACCTGCTGCACCCTACTGTTCACGACTTCTTACTAGAACACAGATAACTACCTACCTGAATAGAGGCAGTCACCAGTGAGCATCTCATTGATATTCAAGCATTGGTTTGTAGGGATTTGATTTATTGGTTATAGGATTTCATTATGAACCATTAGCGACGAGCTCACCTCGTGACCAGAAGGTCCCGAGTTCTAACCCCAATGGGTTCGGTGCGTACTAATGAAGCTTCCCAAACTAGGAGAGGGGGGAACTGATGTCTGGCAGTACTCTATGTGGCTGGTTTATCTAAGAGATATCAGCTCAATATGAAATCCTGTAACCAACCAATCAAATCTCTACAAGCCAATAATTGAGGGTTAAATGTTGTTATTTAGTTGATTGACAGACAAGATCGATTGTGCTGTGAGTCATCACCCTCACCGACTAACTCGTCGGTGGCACAGTGGTTAGGACTCTCGCCAACCATGCACATGGTCCGGGGTTCGAGCCCACGCCAACGCACACCTGATATCTATGGTTGGCCTGCGAAATTTGGGCTACCGATATCCACGCTGAAAATTCCATACGTGTACCAAAAATACGGTGTGGAATCAAGCTGTAATTAAAAATAAAAATAAATAAAAATAGACAGTTAGCAAACCATATCAAATTTGCAGATATCATCTGACCACGTATCTGGTATAAACTGTCAGATATGTCATTTAGGCTTATTATTTAACAAAAATACAATCACCAACCACCAAAAATAATTGAACACACCTGTTATAACGATACAATCTACATATTCGAAGTTAATTGGTGGTGAATGGGATTGGATGGAATCCAGAATAACACACATTTCGTCCTACTTGTGACTAGTATGCCAGATATATGTACCTGTATTCCCCAAGCAGTGAGTCATGATGTTCCCAAAAAACGAGGCTCGAACACATTACCCATAGTTTCAAACACTAGCCAAGTCGTTATCCACTAGACCACTTGCGCTACAAAAGAGAGCCACTTATTTCTTGTACAACGGGTCATATTAATTATTATTTAATTGAATCAATTTAGATCCGTTGATTGTGATTGGAGCGTAATGCTTGGTCTCATGTAGACATGTCTATCAACTTTTTGTGCAGATGTTTCGCATGCTAGTCACTATCCATCAAAAAACTCCTGATTACATGGGCGATTTACGCCTGTGCAAGAAGTGGAGTAGAATACTGCTCTTGTCCATGCCAAGTAAAATACTAAGTTCCATCATCCTACAGAAAACAAAAGATGCACTGGATACAGAACTCCGCCTGCCTCACAGGAACAAGCTGGAATCAGGTAAAACGAATCATGTGCTCATAAATTTGCAGCTCTACGCATCTTCATCACAGAACAGAGAAGAGAATGACAATCAAACCTCTCTCTTACCAACTTCATGAACTTCGAAAAGGCTTTCGGAACCCAGCGATGACCATGAAGTAATTTGGAAACTATTTCAACACTACGGCGTGCAGTGCAGTGCTCAAGTCCTTATCAACCTCATTCAACAGCTGGCTGGCTGGCTGGCTGGCTGGCTGGCTGGTTATATGACAGTGCTACGTGTGAAGTGATCCACAAGAGAAAACTCAGAGAGGCGTTCGAAGTGAATACAGGAGTAAGACAATGCCGCCTATTATCACCAACGATGTGGTGAACTAGATTATGCGTCAGACGAGGCGCGGAGGCGAGCAGTCAGGAAGGAGTACGCCGACGCCCGATAAAAAGAATCTAAAAGATATGGAATTCGCAGATGATATATATATATATATACATGTCTGGTGCCACATAGACTCGAAGACTTGCAGGCAGGCGATAAATGAAAACAAACTGGCCGAGGTACCTGGCAGCTGAAACACGACAGCAGATTAACACAGAGAAAACCGAGGTGATGAAGAGATCCAACCACCACCAACACCAGCTACAACAACAACAACAACAACCAGCACCAACCAATCACCACCACCAATGGGACAGATTTAACACAGGTTGCCTCCTTCACTTATCTGACTATGAAGCAGCGTTCCAACTACAAGCAGTTCGGACGAATGAAGTTGTCAAAGCCGGCAGGCCGAAAAGGCAAGATATGCACACCTTCATCGACCTGAAACCAGTTTAGAAATCTTCTGCTTCACTCAGCATAACGAACAAGATTCGCATTTTCAACAACAGCAATGTGAAGTCGGTCACTGCTTACATACGGGTCAGAAACTTGGCCAGCCTATCACGGAAAGGATCGATTTCCCACAGCTTGTTTCAGACTTTCATCAACAGCTGCCACCTCCGCTGACTGCCTACATATTGAGGATCAAATGGCCAGCCGGTCAGAAAGAGGAGAAGCAACAAGAGACTATGCAGTGGAACAAACCAATCAACATACAAGAGCCAATCGGTCAACAAATATGTAGGAGAAAGTGTGGCGATGGATGGATCGGGCGTACACATTGAGCAGGCCACCAAATGACATCGCACATAATTCAGGCCATCACTCGAGTGGAAGATGAATGAGGAGAGACGGACGAGTGGGTCATCGGTGCTTCTTTGACATGGAGTAGATCGTGTGAAGAAGAAGAAGCGATGAGAGATTATAGCCAATCGTGGAGTTAGCCAGTAGAAGAGGACTGTCAGCGAACAGAAGTCAGCCCTCGGAACTCGAGGCAACCAAGCAACCACTTTGGTCCCACCAGAGTTGACCGGGAAAATTGTCTAAAATATGAAATTAAATAATCTGCATATTTCTATTTGAGTTTCACTTCTGTCGTCACCTTCTTCTTCTTCTTCTTTTAGATATTTGCCGATTTCGAACTTGAACCGCATCAGCAGTGTATATACGATCAAGTGATAGCGTATGATGGACCAACAAACACTTCAGCTGTTCTCGGTCAATACTGTGGAAGTCATAAACCTGGACCGATTATTGCATCACGTAATCAATTACTGTTAACATTCAATTCGGATTCATCAGTACAACGTAAAGGATTTAGAGCACAACATACAACAAGTTAGTGAATTATATTACTCGATTCATTAGTTTATGAATTATCTTAGTATACAATTGGTGGATAGTGGCTACCAGTAGAATCCAGGATAAAGCGCATTTCGTCCTATTCGGGACTCGTCATCTGGATTTGGTTTAATCCTTAGACTTCAGACAATAATAATAATATTATTATTCCTTTAAATTACCCGGTGGAACATAAAGTAGGGCTGACTTCAACAACACATCTCTACTTTCTATCAATACCTTGCTGTCTTCATCAACTGACTCCACGATTCCGCATAATCCCTCAATCTCCTCCGCCAACTCACACGATCTCCTCCCTGTTACGCCTTCACCGACCACACAGTCATTCATTCCGAGAGTTTTTTGTTACTAATTCTTTCTGGTCAGCCAGATGGCCGACTAGCCAGCCTTGACCTTCAATATGAAGCCAGCCAACCAGTCAGCGAAGTGGATAGCTGTTGACAATAGTCTGCAGTGACCTGTTGCAAAAGCTTTGCATGACGCATGTGCAGTGCAAGTTTCTAGTCCATAGACAAGCACCAATTGACTGACTTCACATTGGTGTTGAGTGGAATTCGAATCTTGATGTTTATGCTGGGGGCGGAGTCCAGCGAGGAAGATTTCCAAACTGGTTTCAGGTTGATGAAGGCGTATCTTGGCTTCCCGATTCTGGCTGGCTGGCTGGCTTAGACATCTTTATCCGTCCCGATTGCCTGTAGTTGAAACAGTGCTTCCTAGCCAGAAAAGTGAAGGAAACAACATCTATCAAGCTGCCCCATTCATGGTGATTGGTGCTTGTTGTTGTCGTAGCTGCTGTTGGTGGTATTTGTTTATCTTCATCACCTCCATCTCCATCTTCTCTACGTTTAACTGCAGTCCTGTCTTCGCCGCTTTTTCAAATAAGATTATTATTGTTCCCTTGGGTTCTTAGTGGAACATAGGGCTTCAACTGAACGCCTCCACTTGCCACTTCTGTCTTTTGCTGTACTTTTCACCTGCATCCATGTTAGTCCATACTGTTTCAACTTCTCTTCACACGATCTCCTCCATGTCACCTTTGGACGTCCCGCTCGCCACTTCACTTTCGGGTTCCACTCGAGAAATGGCCTGACGCGCAAGCGACGTCACCCAGCGGCCTCCTCAGCGAGCGAGTGTTCAATCCATCTCCACTTTCTCCTGCATGTTTGTCGGTCGGCGATTGGTTCTTGTTTTGTTTGTTCCCATAGTTTCTTGTTGATGATTCTTTCCGGCCATCTGATATTCAGTATAGAACGACGACAGTTGTTGATAAAGGTCTGCAACAGGCTGTTAGAAATATACTTTGTGACCCGCCCGCCAAGTTTCTGATCCGTATAGAAGAACTGAATGACTTGACGTTTGTATTGAAAATCCGACTGAATTTTTTGTTGATGCTGCGTGGGTGACGAAGATTTCGAGATTGGTTTCAGGTTGATGAATGAATGTGTTTCTCGCCTTCCCGATTCTCGCTCGATTTGACATCCTCGTCTGTTCCGACTTCCTGTAGTTGCCTGCTGCCTTCTCAGCTTCAGTGGCCAGGTTGTCGTAGAATTGTCTTTTGTCCTTACTAGCACTTTTCTTCACTTCTTTGTGTAAGTTGAGCTCAGAGTCTCTTTCTCTTGTCCGTCTTAGCATTGAATCATTTTCTCTTTCTACATTCTCCTCTCCTCTATTAGCTTCCAAGTGTCCATTGAGAGCCATTCCTTGTCGTGTCTCTTCTTTCTTCCTAGAACCGTTGAACACCTTTCGTTGGAAATCACCTTCAGAGAGTTCCAGTGGTCTTCCACGCATGATTCTTCCGTGATATCGTGTAATGTCTCCTGCTTTGCTCTGAGAGTTGCAGTGAAAGTGTCCTTTGTGGTTGTGTCCTTCAGTGATTGAGTGTTGAACTTGCATTGTGGCCTATCCGCAGCTATCCACAAGGCTTTTAGCTTCACCTTGAAAGTCCCTTATACTAGATAGTGGTCTGAACCACATCTGCTCCTCTCCTTGACCTTGTGTACAGTAGGCTCCGTCTCCACTTTCTTGAGATTGAAATGAAGTCTATCTGGTTTTTGGTATGTCCATCTGGTGAAATCTATGTCGCCTTGTGTATATCCTTGTGTTTGAACACACTGCCACCAATCACCAAATCATTGAAGGCACAGAAGTCTGAGAAGAGTTCACCATTGTCGTTCATTTCACCAAGGGCCTCGCGACCCATGGTGAGTTCTCTCCCTGTATTGTCTCCTCCCAGCTTCGCATTCATATCACCCATCAGCATTTTGATATCGCCATTTGGGACGTTGTCCATTGCTGTTTGTAGTTGTCTGTAGAACACCTCCTTCTTCTCTTGTTCTGAGACGTTTGTAGGCGCATAGCATTGAATGATTGCAAGCTTCCTTCATTTTTAGTTGAACGTGGCTGCTTTCGCAGATTCCCAACACTTCCATTCTGTATCTTCTCATTTCTGCGGCTACCTGGACAACCTTTCCAGTTTCGTACATTGTACGAACATTCCACGTCCCCATCCTTACTTTTGTTTTCATCGAAAGAAGGAACATCGACTGACTGGCTTCCCGAAGGCTAGCTTTCACCAGCCTGCGTCATTTCACTTCCCCGATTTCAGTGAAAAATAAGGTTATCGTTTATATTTTTAGAATTTTTAATATATTTGTGCGTTGAAGTTTCTGTAGCGATTTGGTTGTTTTACGGGGGTGGGGTTGCTAGCACCACGCCCCAACCCTCCCTCTTTATCCGGGCTTCGGACCGGCTAGAAAACTAGCGAGCTAGTAATCTAGGCGAGGTTTTTTCAAATAAGACATTCAGGATAATTCTGACATACTCAAAGAAGACTTAGTTTCAAGCAGACAGTTATTTTCAGAAATAATATCAGTCTGATGGAGATCACTGGAAACTATTCAGGAACACTGGACAACTGTCTTCTCTTATTTTGTGACTCTTCACTAGGAGTCGAACCCGAGACCTTCAGTTTACTAGATCAGATACATTGACGACCATTAAGTCATCTGGGCTGAGATTCAGGGGCTAAATGATTCTAACTCAGTCAACCAGTGATATGACACTAAGCTTATCGAAGGCATTCCAGAAAGTACCGCTGCATCAAGAAATGAGACACTGAATCCCAGTCCAAGTGACTGAATAACTGTCGACGTGTTTGATCTCATAAACTGGGGGTTTCAAGTCCAACTCCTGATGAAGAGTAGCAAAATAGTGGATTTTCTCTACTCAAACAAGTTCAGTCTAAACTGTCTGAGTAGAACAAAGCAGCTCTAATCAGTCCTGAAATGCTTTTTTGATTGGACATTAGTCAGTAACTAATGTAATGCATGTGTGTGTGTGTGACTGTGTGTCTAGTCCCATGTGTTTGCTACAGACTGAATTCTATCAGTCAAAGAGAAACGGTTTAAATCTAATATTGTCTGATTCTCAATACGCAGCCATGCAATTCTCAACTCTCCCCGCCTTACTGTATCTCATCTGGTAGAACTAGAAGTCGGTACAGCGGCACAGCGCTAGAATGCATGCATGTGGTTAAGAGTACCATCTCCGGCCGCCAACTCATTCCTCTACCTTGCTAAGCCGGTAATAAGACTGTTAAAGAGGGATGGTTGAGCTGAGCCTGAGGCTAGCAACCCCATCCCCCCATAGAAAAAAAACACCATTGCTACCGAAACCCAAAGCGTCTCGCTTGAAGCCCATTGTTCACTGGGAGTGTAAAAGAATAAAAGAAAAACTACCAAGTATTGGAACTCAACGATACCATATTTCTCCAGCCAGTGTTCTATGCAACAGAGGCAATGTTAAGCCTGAAACTTATGAATGACTACGTAGTTAGGTTTGGTTTCTGTTGGGATTTTTTATTTGACTGGTTGGGGGATTTCATTATGAGCTGATATCGGTTGATTGGCGAATCATTGGAAAATCAGCCACTGGGAGGATGGCTCCTCAGCAGTACGCACCCACCCACTGACAGGGTTTAAATTCAGCACCTCCTTCCTGGTTACAAAGCGAGCTTACAGGTTTTTCTAATGGTTCTCTAACCAACCGATGTCAGTGCTCATGATGAAATCCTCCAACCAACCAACCAACCAACCAAATCATCAAACAAAATCCCTACAAAACCAATACTTGAAAATTGATCCGATGATCAACTAGCCACTTGCCCCATTCACGTAGACGTCGTTACCAGGGGTTCTAGTGGGAAGCCGTGATCAGTAGGGTGCAGCAAGTCGGAGGTGAGGACAGTTACTCATTAGAAGAAGACATTGCAAAGTGTGTTCGCGCTGTGTCGTTCATGAATTGGTAGAAGTTAGAATTCATGTACTGGCTGGCTGGCCATTGGATTGGGTCCGGTCAGAGTGAATGGTTGCTTGATGGTCTACGAACTCACTGGCCTTGTAACAGGAAGGTCCTGGGTTCGAACGCTCTTAGTGTGGTGGGCCGGTGCGTACTGCTGGAGAGCCAATTCAGCCCAGACTAGCATGGCGGAAACAGCTGTCCAGTACTCCCCAAATATTTGCAATCTCCTATTTGTAATCTATGGTGACACTTTCTTCTCAGTTAAACAAACAATCTTAGCTACTCACATTATTATCATTATTATTTACAACTGCTGGTGGTAGCGCTATGTCGTGTATGCATTAGTGACTGGATTGGCTCACAGTGACTTATAATCGTCTACGAGCTAGCTCACCTTGTAACCGGAAGGTTGTGGGCTCAAAAACCCACTTTGGTGGGTGCGTACTGATGAAGAGTCCCAAACTAGGACGAAACGGCTGTACAGTACTCCCTGCAGGTTTTTCAATAATTCGCTAACCATCTGATGTCAGCTTATGATGAAATCGCTACAAACCAATACCTGAAAATTAGTTTTTGTAAATATACAAATACCAAATGCGAGTTGCCATTAAAACTGAATCCCTGTAATATTATCTTTTTAATTGTTTCTAATGCTATTCAATAAAATTAGATAGAATATTGTGCTAAATGCAGAAAATTCCACACTGTGCATCGTTAATACTCTTTTGGAATAAAGCCAATTACTATTATTATTCAAGTGTTGGTTTGTAGGGATTTGATTGGTTTCAGGATTTCACCATGAACTGACATCAGTTAGAGAACCATTGGAAAACCAGCTGGGAGTACTGGACAGCTGTTTCGTCCTAGTTTGGGACTCTTCAGCGGTACGCACCCACCGGGATTCGAACCCAGGACCTTCCGATTACAAGGCGAGCTCGTATACCATTATTATTATTACTATTAAAAACTTTAATTTTACCCTTAATTCCTCAAAATTTTTTTTGTTAGTTTGCGGTGGTCATTTAACCGCTGACAATGCTCCACAGACAATCTATTCACATACGAAATTCAGTGACTTAGATTATGAATCCAATCAACAATGTTACTGGACGATTACACCAAAACTGGAGAATCATACAGTCCTGCTAAGATTTCTCTACTTTGAAGTTGAAGAAGAAACGCTATGCACGTAAGTTTTCTTTTTATGAAGAGACACTACATAATTTACAATTGGTGGATGGTGGCTAGCAGTGGAATCCAGCCACTGGATGTACCTGCATTACTCAGTGAGTGATGATGTTCTCACTGAGGCTCGAACCCAGTGACCATAGTTTCAAACGCCAAAGCGTTATCCACTAGACGACTTGGGCCACGAGAGCCACCTCTTGTGCAACGGGTCATATTAATTATTGAATTGAATTTTTGATTTTCCCGTGGATTGATTGTACCGAAGTGCTCGGTCTCTGGTTGACATGTGGTGGTTCTCGTGGCCCAAGTGGTCTAGTGGATAACGCTTTGGCGTTTGAAACTATGGTCACTGGGTTCGAGCCTCGGTGGGAACATCATCACGCACTGAGAAATGCAGGTACATCCAGTGCTGACGAGTCCCGAATAGGACGAAATGCGCTTTATCCTGGATTCCACTGCTAGCCACCATCCACCAGTTGTATACAAATCAAATCTCCAGACATCGTCAAAGCATCTGCACAAGAAGCTGACATGTCAAACTGAGACTGAGTACATCGGTCCAATCAATCGATGGGAAAATCAAAAATTCAATCCACACCACATAATAGATGAAAAGGAATAAGTACCATATAGGAGTTATCAGATACACAATTGTATACCCGCATTCCCCAAACAGTGAGTCAGTGAGGTCAGTGATGGCGTTCCCACCACCACCACCACTGAGACTTGAACCCAGTGGTTCATCGTTTCAAACACTAGCCAGAGCGTTAGCTACTAGGCCACTTGAGCCACGAGAGCCTCATCTTTCTTCTTGAAATGGGGGGTATCAGTAATTATGCTATAATTCAGTTTGCACAGCTCGGCTACAGGTTGACACGCCTACTCCTTTGTGCAGATGCTTCGAGGATGTCTGATTATTCAACTTGAAGCCAATTGGTGGATGGTGACTGAGGAGTGGAATACAAGAAGTGCAGTCTTCCCTATTTCACGAGGTGACTCTGGTGGCCTAAGTGGTCTAGGGGATAACGCTGGTGTTTGACACTATAGTCTCTGACTTTGAGCCTCAGTGGTGGGAACACTAGTGCAGGCTGCTAGCCAATTGGTAGACATTAATCGACGCTGATTGGTAGATATTAATCTAGGCTGATTTAACAAACAACCACGGCAGACTTAAACGTGGGCAAATATGATTCGCAGATAAATGGCTCTACTTTCCGAGAAATATCGAAAACAACCAATCAGGAGACTGTGTTTGTCTTCCGAGAAACAACCAATTAGAAGACTGCCTTTTTCTGCTTGCATAAGCCTTATTAATGTACATAAAATATATATATAAATACGCGTTGATTTCCGTAAGAAAACGATCTGTTGCCTGGCCCTTGTCTTCTGTACATCCTCTAGCTAACGAGTCATAAATAAAATGAAATGTGCGTTATCCTGAATTCCATCCACTTCGAGTCACCATCCCTTAATGGACTTCATGGTATATTGACTAGACATCGTCGAAGCATTTGTACAAATACAAGGAGCCAACATCTCAATACGACACTGAACACTCCGTCTAATCAGCCACAATTAAATAAAAGTCATTCATTTCGACGGCTTCTATTTCATCAGGTCCTACATTTATATGACCATAATAATCGAAGTATTAACATCATCAGCAACAATTATACTGTTCTAAATTACATTGAATCAGTCAATAAAACAATGGTTTTCATAGGTGATTACAGCTCACTAAACCACCAGTTAGAAGGAGAGACTATGTGCATTCATACTGTGGTGAAAGCTGTCTGTGAACAAGTCAGAATTGTAGGCGAAAATTTATGTCAATATTTACATCCCGAATCGAAGTCATGAGAAATGAAAACGAAAACAAAGGAACTCAACAACCGATCACAGCAGATTTAACGTGTGGAAATATGATTCACACAATATATACGGCTTAACTTTATGAGAAACGGTCACGAGCAATAAAGAATAACCTTCAGCGAGAAAACAACCAATCAGAAGACGTCTCTGCTTCACTGACAATAATGTACATAAAAATCTACAAGTATCTGTTTATTTTCTCAATGAAGGATCTGTTGCATGGCCCTTGTCTTCTGTCCTCAAAGTAGTAGAACTGTTGAGGAATTTCAATACACCTATCAGAGTGATGACATAAGGAATATTCCACTTAATATTGACACAAGGATAAAACGTTATACACTGTGGTGGTACACAGAGTATAACTTCATCATGGAGAAAATGTTTCATTTTGATAAAGTGTCATACACAGTGTGTGTGTTTGTTTGTTGTACAGTAATATTTACTGTTGATGGCCACACACACACACGCTTCGAACACAATTCATCATTGCTACTACTACTATTCATAATCATAATCATATCAAGGCACACAACTCACACTCACACACCACTCACCTTCTCGCTTCGTCGTTTATATACATGCATAAGTACAAATTGATGATGATTAGACAACATTTGATTGAATCAAATCAATCAGTAAGATGAGTAGAAAGTACATTCAGAAATGATAATAATAACAATGACATTAGTATTATCAATCAGTCAATCAATCAGTCGAACACAATCAGATTATGGGATCGGAAGGGGCATAAGACGAGTGTTTCTATAGTAAAATAGATAAATAAATAACTTTATAAATTATTTAAATTAGACAAAAAAAATTGAAAAATCCTGGCTATTGACGATAGTCATTCCATATCGAAAGGACACAGCTGAACAACTTCAAAGACTGTTTGCTTCATATAGTATTAAAGTCTATGTCAAACCTTGTAATTCTCTGGAGAAAGCGCCGGTGCATGTCAAAGATATAGTTCCCACAAATGTCACAAAGTAATTGAGCCTACAAGATAAAGTGTTCAGAATGCAATGCATCCTATCTATATTGGGGGAGAGCAGTAGGCAGATGAAGGTCAGAGTGAATGAACACAGACTGAATACGCACGAAACGTCCCGGCCTAGAAATGATGAAGTAGAATTAAAAAGTGTAGAAAAAAGATCGGCTATAGCAATGCATGCGATAGACAGAGGACATAAAATTGATTTTGACAATGTCGAAATTCTTGGAAGAGGATTTCATTCAACATATAAAGAAAGATTGACTTCGGAAGCCTTGCACATTTTAACCACATCAAATGCAGTGAATAGGAGGGAGAGAAGGGATAGACTTATCAGCTACCTATATGGCGAACTCTTATGAAGCAAGACAGATGAAAAAACAACAAACACTCTATGAGCCTCCATGATGTTTTTAGAACATGTAGTATCATGTTTATCACATATGAATTCACGTATTTTCCATATGACAACATACATACATACACACGCACAGCCATACAAATCTAATCTTTACAAATCAACTATAGAAGAGTGAACACAACAACAATTTGACATTAGTCATTACAAATATATGTGAACACGAGCAGGAGTAATTTTGCTCGAAATATTACCAATAACGAAACTTATCCTGGTGTGTGTAAACTATTGAAATACAATTATACTTTATTTGATCTAATCCACAATGCTCAAACTTTTTACTGATATTCATTCGACTGCTTACATATTTCTATTGGTACAAATGTCTATGGACAATTTATGTAAAACATTTTTGACTAAAAAATTTTGATGATTAATAAAAATCCGAATAAATCTGCTGAATAAGCTGGCTGTGGCTTACACGGCGAAACGTTCAGAAAACAGAACTTGTTTTGATTTTCTTAACACGCTGGGATTAATTTAAATAATATATAATGAGTCAATCTGACTCGGCGCTCAAATTATTCCAGGAAGTTCGTAAAACCTACGGTCTGGAACCCCTAAATAAATAACTTGTTGTTAGCATGTTCTAATGTGCATGTGTATATGAATTGAATTGAATTGAAATAGAAAACATTTTGAGATTATTCATTATCCTCCTGCTCTAATTTGACTGACCGACCGACTGACTGACTGACTAATGGTAATAATGTCTTGCATACCTCTGGTATTAGCTGGCGACGATGATGATGACGAGTCACTTCTGTTGCATGTGTTGTGTTGTCTTCTGTTGTGTTGTGTTGGATGTGCAGACTCGATGAACTAGGCAGGATTCAGTAAGTAATCAATCTCTGTCTATCTATCTATCTCCACCAACCGATATTACTTTTTATAATTTCGATTCTGTCCTACCCACCGTGTTGTGTGGTTGTGTGTTAATGCATGCAGTGCAATGTAGTGCTGAGTTGACTTCTAAATTGCTTCTAATCTTCGTAGGCGGGATCAATCATTTTCACCTTAGCTGAATTCTTATGCTCTGACAGCCGGTCTCAATACTCCTGCCTGATCTACTCGTCTTATTCCTCTGTGTAGGTAGTTGATCTAACTCACAGGCATTGTAAATTATGTTTCATTTTATTCAAATATCTAATCATTATCAATTTTTACTTATGCATGTATATAAACGATGAAGCAAGAAAGGGAGTGGTGTGTGTGTGCCTTGATGTGATTATGATTATGAGAAGTAGTGGAATGATAAATTGTGCTCGAAGCGTGTGGTGGTCATCATCAGTAAATATTACACTTTATCAAAATAAAACATTTTATCCATAATTGAGTTATACTCTACCACCGCATTGCCACCCCATCTTCATCCTTATGTCCTTGGGAATCGTTCGGTGTACTATTATTGTGGACGAAAATGAATTATATATATATATATATGAGTACAGTTCATAAATGTGTGAATTAAAAAAAACAATTCTGACAGTTGGTGTGGGGATCACGGACAGTAGTAATTTTGCTCAAAATATTACAGAAAACAATCAAGAACTTATCATTGTGTTTAGACCATTGAAATATATATTTATACTTTATTTGATTTATTCCTCAATGCTCAAACTATTTACTGACATTAATTCTGTTTTTCAAAAGAATGGATACTGAACAAAGAGTACTCTTTCCGATAACCTCTTCATCATCAGGCTCTACATTTATACATACATTATAGTAAATGAATGAGTTAGTGTTATGAACGACATTAACGCTCTTTAGATAACATCGAATCAATAATATTGATAGATTACACCTGAATCGCATCATCATAGAATAAGCTGAATGTCAGAAACATAAAGAAAGATAATAATACAAATTCATGAGTTTATAGCTTCTACTGAAGGCTGGCCAGGGCAATAGTAGGGGCTGGCTGGACTTGCTTCTTTTGGACACAAAGTGCTGGTTGTTTGAGGCGAATCGCAATAGCCTCTGGTGTTTGGAGCCTGTGGTGCTTCGATGTTTTTGGTAATTTATTCGGCACCCGGTATAATATAGAGAAGGATTCATCTACGCTGGCTGGCTTTGTGGCCGGCTGGTTTGCACCAGATGTTCCAATATCGAGCTGTTAATAGTTTTCACTACACCTTTACTTAGTTAGCCATGCTGAACGATGTTCTCGAGTGAGCACGAACAATCAAGTTCCTAGAGCAACGGCCAATATAACTGGCTCCACAAGCGCAGTTGAATTGATAGATACAATTAGAAGTGGAATGATAAATTGTGCTCGAAGCGTGTGGTGGTTATTATCAGTAAATATTACTGTATAACAAACAAACACGCACACACACTGTGTATGACTCTTTATTAAAGTGAAACATCTTCTCCATAATGGAGTTATACTACTCAATAATTTGCATTTGTATTATGCTAAGAAATGACTAATTATCAACTTGTACATTCATTTACACTTAATTAAAAAAAATAAATTATTTCACATTATTTGATATTCCCCCCTTCATGTTTTTCCCTATTTCAGATACGACTATCTCAGAATTTTTGACGGAGCCGATACGAAAGGCAAACTTCTAGGTGGATTTTGTGGGCGTACAGTAAGTTGAAAATATTTCTAAAAACAATGTCACAAAGTTATGAATGTGTCAATATCTGAATTCTATCTAAGTTACACAATTTCACAGTCAAGATATAAAGAGATTGTAATCATCAGCGGTGAGGTGTTATCTAAAATGCTGACAACTAGTGATGTCCATCCGAAAGGGATTCCCAGTCACTGTTCACACTTCTTTTTAATTTCATCATTGATATCGATAGTACTGATGGAATTAACCTCAAACTGCTGACTTCAGAGATTCAAGGATTGACTTGTTACTCGTTGACTTGTTGAAATATGCAGATGATATAGTCCTCCCTACTAAGTGAAGACGCTGACGAAATGCAGACAGGGTCTTGTTAACACCTTCAGCTGCAATCTGAGAATGTTTGGCATACGATTCACTTCTGCTGTTAATTGTAAGATGATGCTACAAGACTGACTGGACTACATCAACCCACTCCTAGCTTAAAAAAACTGAGACAGTGAATTGGTGGAGCGCGTTGACCACTTCATTTATTTAGGAAGTTGAATCAGCCAGCCACAACGGGTTGATTGCTGACGAAATCTCAACACGAATAAAGAAGGCTCATTTTGCATATGCCAGTTTACGCCATCTCTAGCCTAGTAGACTTGATATCCAGCTGGTTGACTGGCTAGCTGTCGACCAAACAGCATGTGTACTGCTCAGAAGTAGTCTGATCCGTCCTCCTTTTTAACTGCCTGGTTGGCTGAGTGAAACATGGCCATTCAAACAGTGGAAGACATGAAAAAACCGACTATCTAATTGTGTTTAATCACAGGTGCCTGTGTCCTATCTAAGTGGTATAATAAGGTGAGGAATATTGAGGTTAGGCATCGGTCGAATACAAGGTAAGCAGGGGTGGGGGAAATCAGTCGATGACGCTGTAAAGCAGTTACATCGATTGAGAGAGATGGTTAGGCCATGTGTTACATATTGATGACCAGCATTCGCCTTCCTCGATGACAGTCAATGTTAGCTGACTGACATAAGATAGATCAGGTTAGAGAAGAGTTAGCCAATGGTGATTAAACCAAAACCAACATGACTTCATCATCAGTCGATGAAATCCACAAGAGTTAGTTTAAGCCTGCAAGCCATGTAGGAATGTATAGACTTTTTGACAGCTTGTTTGAAGTCCTCGAGATGGTAGGTATCAATGAAGGTTGGAGACAATCGGTGATATGTCTGGCTCAAAATTGTTCTCAACGAATGGCTGATGCAGATGCATCCATTCCTTGTGACTTATAATAGCTAATAAAACCATAATTGTTCTTCCTTATTACTATTTTTCTTGCCTTATATCTCTGTTCACTGTCTCTATTTTGCATTTTTCTTTTTACTTTATTCTGTTGTTTTGTGTGCTGAGTGAAGTGTGGTGGGCAAATTGAACTGGTGCACATCGATGCAAAGTTCTACATTTAAACCAGTCAGTCCGATCGTGTTTTGATTAGTATCAGTCTTGATCTATCGTGATCTGTTGATTTATGTCTGTAGGGATTTTTTTCACCATTTTGATGTACTAGTTGAGTTAGGTGAGCTGGCTCATAGATCATTAAGCCCCACTCACTGGCCCCAGCCCAATCCAATGACCGATGAATTCTAACTTGTGCTAATTCAAGCACGACATGGTGCGACCATTTTGCAATGCCTCACCTTCAACCTATTGCACCCTACTGGTCACGGATTCCTACTAGAACCATAGGTCACTGCCTGAATAGGGTTAGTCGCTAGTAAGCATCAGATCAATTTTCACGTATTTGTTTTTAAGTAGGGATTTGGTTTGATTGGTTGGAGGGGCCAATCCCAAACTAGGCTGACGAAACAGCTGTCCAGTACTTTTTGATGTGGTTTTGTTCTCTGAGCTGGATGGTTAATTTGCGAAGCTTTCATCACCCTACTGGGTGACATCTTCCTTCAGCGCATACTTCAATTCGAATTGAAGTGAGCTTTCAGATTTCTCCACGAGTTTATTATCCATCCCTCCTGGTGGGTGACTTTGGACATGATTGCTTGTTTATGTGTGTTTTCACAACTTCTAGGTTACCTGTATTGGAAGTGATTGTTTCTTTGACTTGAACTTTGACCCTTTGTATGTGTGTGAAGTTTTTTTCTTATTGGTTGATAAATTTTGTCTATGTCGACGTGTCTATTGATTGATGATTCACTGGAATGCCAGCTAAGCTTCTAAAAATTCTCTAGCATTCTTGTTATTTCCTTTGTCTAATATTTCAAAGCTGCTTATCCCAGTCGAATTGATGTCCGTAGTTGTCTGTGTGTAGTGAAATGAGGGAGTGGATATCATGTCTTTTGACGGCTAGCTTATGTTCGTGGATACGAAGACGAAGGGGACGTCCAAACTAAACTAACTATCCAGCTCAGAGAACAAAATCACATCAAAATCATCCACCTGAGCTACAAATCTTCTCTATCATATCTATAGGATTAGGGCTATAAATGAATTTTGAAACGATGTCATTTATAGCCATTTGGATGAATATCTGTGTACAGAATGTGGTGTGACTTCCCTACAGACACTTACTCCTATGCTAAACTGGGAGATGTTTCTATCAACGTGTTAGAGAAAGATATCCTATGTAACAATTTTATGCAGTTTGTATGCTATTTTCCATAAGGTTTCCTTATCGAATATCCATCCTTCATGTGATTGGTCCGTTGGAGGTCGTTCGCTGATTGGTGGTAGTTTGTGGTACTTAAAGTTTAACTTTGCCTTTTTATTGTTCCACAAACTCTCGTCGTCTATTTTTATCACATGAAGAAGAGTAAAACAAAAAATAATCAATTTTTTTTACTGTTTTTACGAGTTGATTACGGATTTATATAAGTTAGAGAACCATTGAAAACCAATGGGGATGTTATTGAGGATTGAATCTAATGTTCTCTTGACATAGTATGATGAGGGGAAACACGAGAGGAATAACATCTTTTTTCACAAAACTTAAATGATATTTACATTTATGAGAAATTAAACAAACAAATGAGAGGATTATAAATATAAGAATTCGCTGATGGCACAGCAGTAAAATGCTCACTACCAAAAACACTCCCTCCTCCATGTGGTTCCGGGTTCGATCCCCGATGATCAACGCACTCCTCGCTACCTCAATAAAAACCAGGTTTAAGACTGGTAAAGAGGGAAAGTTGGGCGGACATGAGGCTAGCAGCAGCAGCCCCAACCCGTACACAAATAATAAATATGACTGCTTCAGATACTTCAAGCTTCTAGTTTGAAATCGCTCTATGTTCCACTGGGAGTGTAAAGGAATAAATATATTTAGAAAAAAAAGAACCATTAAAGACCAACAGGGAGTACTGGACAATCTTTGGTCAAACTCGAAAGACAGATCTATTCCTTACAAACTAACTCTTGAAATGATGATGAAGACGATTTGTAGTGGATGATTTTGATGTGGTTGTGTTCTCTGAACTGGTTGGTTAATTTGCGAAGCTTTCATCGCCTCACCACTAGGCAACGTCTTCAGCGCATACTTCAATTTGAATTGAAGTGAGCTATTAAATTTCTCCATGAGTTTATAAGTCATTTCTTCTTGAAGATGATGACCTTGAAGGTGAATGGTTTTAAAAGTTTTTAAAATATTTTTCATCTTATTTTTACAATATTGAATTCTATCTTATCAAATTTCACACCATGCCACGTAACATTTTATATTCGCCTACTAATCCTATAATTATGTATTATTATATTATTATTATATCCTTTAATTTCTGGAGGAACATAGGGCTTCAGCTGGCCACCTCCATTGCCTTCTGTTTTCTGACAACATTTTCAGCCCGCTCCAAGTCTGTCCACATGCTTTCATCTCCTCCTCGCATGACCTCCTCCAAGTCACCCTACCCTCGAACTGACGACCAACTCGCCGCCCGCTTCCCTTTCGACCGGGTTCCACTCGAGCAATGGCTTGTCTACTGATGTCCCTCACTTGATGGTTTCCTCAGAGTATGGCCAGCCAATCCATCTCCATTTCTTCCTGCCTATTTGTTTCACAATCGGTTCCTGTTGTGTTGGTTCGCTCACTGCCAGAGAACCCTGTTGCTGATCCTTTCTGCCCGGACATCTGATCTTGAGTATTGAGCGAAGACACCTGTTAATGAAGGTTTGAAGTTTGTTTGAGATGCTCTTTATGACTCCACAAGTCTCTGATCCGTATAGTAGCACTGACTGACTTTACATTGGAGTTGAAAATCCGGATCTTATTTTTGATGCTGAATGCTGAGTGTTGACCTCCACACAGATTTGAGAGTAATGAAAGCTTGTCTTGCTTTTCCGATTCTAGCTTTGATATCCTCGTCACTTCCGTCGGCCTGTAGTTGAAACGATGCTTCCCAGGTAGGTAGGTGAAGGAGGTTGTTTCTTTCAGGTTCCTCCCATTTATGCTGATTGTTGTCTGTTGTTGAAGTGGCTGTTGGTGTTGGCCAGGAATCTTCATCACCTACCTCTGTTTTCTCTATGTTCACTTGGAGTCCTATCTTTGATGCTCCTTCTGCCAACTTGTTGCTTTTCACTTGCATACCTTCTAGTTTGTGGGAAATCAGACATATATCGTCATCGGCGAAGTCCAGATCCTCCAAGTCTCTTTTTGTGTGAGTCCATTTTATGCCTGTTTCCTTATTGGCCGTTGTCTGTCGCATTATTCAATCGATTGCAATCAGAAAGATCATTGGTGATAGTAGACAGCCTTGTCGTACTCCCGTCCCCACTTCGAAGGCCACTTAAAACTCTTGAGTAATTCCGTATGTTATTTTGTTTCCATGTATACTCTGAGCCCAAATTTTGCATCAAACTAATCACGTTATTACGTAACTCTTCTTTAACAATCGTTTGTGACAGCTCATCACTTTTGTTAGTACCCTCTTATATCAACATCCAATTCATTTGAACTTCCGAAGTGGATTTTTGTTTGACAAATTTAATGTACAAATACATATAAAACAACTAT